GAATCGCATTGAATCTGTAAAGTGCTTTTGCTAATATGGCCATTTTAATAATATTAATTCTGCCTATCCATGAGCAAGGTATATCTTTCCATCTTCTAAGGTCTTCTTCTATTTCTCTCTTTAGGGTTCTGTAGTTTTCATTGTATAGATCTTTCACCTCTTTTGTTAAGATAATTCCCAAGGTGTTTTTTTTTTTTTTTTTTTTTTTTGAGGATATTGTGAATGAGGTAGTTTTCCTCATTTCCATTTCAGAGGATTTGTCACTGATATACAGGAATGCCTTTGATTTATGGGTGTTGGTTTTATATCCTGCCACTTTGCTGAATTCATTTACTAGGTCTAGAAGTTTCTTGGTAGAACCTTTTAGGTCTGCTAGTATAGGATCATGTCATCAGCAAATAGTGCTAGTTTAAGTTCTTCTTTTCCTAAAATTATACCTTTAATTTCTTTCGTCTAATTGCTCTGGCTAGTGCTTCCGGAACTATGTTGAATAGAAGTGGTAACAGAGGGTATCCCTGTCTTGTTACAGGTTTTAGAGGGAATGCCTTCAATTTTTCTCCATTTAGAATGATGCTGGCCTGAGACTTAGCATAGATAGCTTTTACAATGTTGAGGTAAGTTCCTGTTACCCCTAGTTTTTCTAGTGTTTTGAATATAAAGGGATGCTGTATTTTGTCGAATGCTTTTTCTGCGTCTATGGAGATGATCATATGGTTCTTATCTTTAAGTGTATTGATGTGGTGAATAACATTTATTGATTTCTGTATATTGAACCAGCCTTGCATCCTGGGGATGAATCCCACTTGATCATGGTGCATGATCTTTTTGATATGTTTTTGTATCCGATTTGCCAGAATTGTATTGAGGATTTTTGCATCTATATTCATTAGAGATATTGGTCTGAAATTTTCTTTCTTTGAAGTGTCTTTGTCTGGTTTTGGAATTGGGGTGATGTTGGCCTTGTAGAATGAATTTGGAAGTACTTCCTCTTTTTCTATTTCCTGAAATAGATTGAAGAGTATTGGTATTAGTTCTTCTTTAAAAGTATTGTAAAACTCTGCTGTATATCCGTCCGGTCCTGGGCTTTTGATAATCTTTGACTGTTGATTCTCTTTCTTACCTTTTATTTTCTGACTTGTTTATCTATTTATTTATTTGGTGGTGCTGGGGATTAAACTCAGGGTCTTGGGCATGCAAGGCAAGCACTCTTACCAACTGAGCTATGTCCGAAGCCCTCTGACTTTTTATATACCATTTTTATTAAGAAATCTAAATTAATTCTATCAAAAGCTAATATAAATGATCTTCATTTATCAGAAAAATATATATTTACAACTTATATTTATAATTTATGTATTAAATATAGATTATATTTAATTTTACTTCTTGTGCTAGTCTAGAATAATTTTTCGGAAAGGAACAATTAAGAAACTAAATAATGTCAGTTCCTTAATATTAAACTAAATAGTACTCAATACTTCTTGCTTTAGAGTTTTCCTCTATATTAATCCTCAACTTCAGATAAACTTGTTTACTTTCAGCCCCTGAATCAAATTTTTTTTCACAATCTCTTTTCTTTTGCTAGTTGTTGCCACTCTGTTTGATCTGTCTAAATCCCATCTTTCCAAATATAGCTTGGTTTATATCTTCCTGCTCCCAGTAATCTCTGGCTTCTCTCAATTTCTGTAGCATTTACTATACTAGCATAATTTGGAACTTTATATATTAGTTTGTATTAGTGCCATATATTCTGAATCTACCCTAAATACAGATACATAGTTTTATTATCTATATAGTGATATATGTATAATTTCTTCAACACTGTATTTTAGGACTCTCTTAGGGCTAAGGTAATACTGATTTAAAAAAAAAAAAAAAGCACACTAAAAATTCTTTTTTTTTTCTTCCTGTATTCCCAACAGCATAATGCCTTGCATTGGGAGATGCTCAGGAAAGAATTTTCTTCTTAGGGCCCCAAATTGTTTTGTATAGTATAGTCAGTACATATTCAAAGCCAAGTTTTAAATCTGAGGYATAGCTGGTCATTAGATTTTTATAGATTTGTTGCTTAATAAGTTATTCTCTATTTTCATAATTTTTATAGCTTATCAGTTGTCATGTTGGTATGAGAAGAAGAGATTGATGTAATGGTTCTTTTACAGGAGCATTTACCATTTGCTGTTGTAGGAAGTATGGATGAGGTAAAAGTTGGAAATAAGATGGTCAAAGCTCGTCAGTACCCTTGGGGTATTGTACAAGGTAAATGAGATAAACAATGACTTTAAAAATATATATATTGCACGAATTATGGTGGCACATAACTGTAATCCTGGCAAGTCAGGAGACTGAGGCAAGAGGATTTCAAGTTTGAAATGAGATTGGCAACTTAGGGGGAGACTCTATCTCAAAATAAATAATAGAAAGGGCTGGAGATGTAGCTCAGTGGTACTGTGCCTCTGGGTTCAATCTCTAGTACCACAAAAATAAAACAACAAAAAATAAAAGAAAAAGAAAATAAATTATCTGTGTTGCCTCGTAATCTGATGTATTTAATATGTTCTTTTGAGGTAATGCTTATTTTGAATTATGATTGGTTGTCAAAGGACYTAACTATGTAATTTTTTGGCCAGTCTGTAGTGGTAAGGCAGAGTAACCTCATTCTCACTGTACCACYCCCATTTTATCTCCCCTGAAGGCATCAGAAGGTGAGAAGCACTGGTTGGGTATTTTGATCAAAATTTGGATTTATTTTTTTTTGTAGGTGCTTGGGATTGAACCCAGAGCCTTACTGAACTACATGCACCAACTCTTGATCAAAAGTTAAATGTGTAAAGTGGTATTTAAACATGATATATAAACTAGTTACCACTTAACAATAGGGAACAATAAATTATGTTCTTGTAAATTTATGTTTTTTTTTCCTGATCAAAATAGGGAACAATATATTATGATCTTGTAAATTTATCTTTTTTTCTGATCAAACAAATAAATCATTGAACCAAGTTGAAAAAGTTAAATCCACTTGACATTTAGGTTATCTGGCATTTAGTATTTAGTACTATCTGGTTATTTATTTGTGATATTAATGGGGAATAGAATACCCCTATCCATTTACTGGCCTTCCAAATACTGCTTTTTAAAAATTGACAACTTTTTAAATTTTTATTTTTAATACTTTTAATTTACTAAAATTATAGAAGGACCAGGCATGGTGGTGAATGGTTCTAATGCCAGCTACAGGAGGCTAAAGCAGGAGAATTATGAGTTTATGGCCAGCCTGAACAACAAAGTGAGATTCTGTCTCAAAAATAAATAAATACATGTAATATAAGATTGTTAGTCACAGTAGCATGTTTATTTATAGTCATTGGTCGCCATAAAGTTACATAAAGGCTATATTAGTATATTCATTAATTTTGATTTCATAAATGTATTGTAGAAAAAGAATTTGATAATTATGTATAAATGATATTCTTAAGTTTGCACAGTTTACTACTTTGAGGTGAAATAATATTACATACTCTTAAGAGTACTATGTGAAATGTTATATTATTTGTAAATATTAAAAACATTCGTGAAATATCTTGAGCATGTGATAATATATTTCTTTACCATTTTCTGTTGGCTATTAAATTTAAAGTCAGTCTCCCAATCTGTTAATTAACATTGCCTRTAATACAGTGTGTATAAGGTAAGACTTTGATTACTTGTATAAAATAATTGTAGCTATTAACCATATCAATCATTTTGATGTTTTTCACATGTGTTATTTATTCATTCGACAAACACTGATGTGTATGCCAGGAATTAAAAGCTAATGTTGGGGCTGGGGATGTGGCTCAAGCGGTAGCGCGCTCGCCTGGCATGCGTGCGGCCCGGGTTCGATCCTCAGCACCACAAACAAACAAAGATGTTGTGTCCGCCAAGAACTAAAAATAAATAAATATTTAAAAAAAAAAAAAAAAAAGCTAATGTTGCTTTTTCTTTTTTTATGATTAGTGGAAAATGAAAACCACTGTGACTTTGTAAAGTTGCGAGAAATGCTCATTTGTACAAACATGGAGGACCTACAGGAGCAGACTCACACTAGGCACTATGAGCTCTATAGGCGTTGCAAACTGGAGGAAATGGGCTTTACAGATGTGGGCCCAGAGAATAAGCCAGTCAGGTAAGGAGTCTTTCTTGAGAAGCCAGTCAAAAGAGGAAGTTAGAAAGGATTATATCTTTTTATGTATCCAGTATAATGGGAATGTGTTTTTTAAAAATTCCCAAACCCAGGAAATAGAATCATTTAACAATGAACATTTATTGTACTTTTTGAATCACTTGAATCCTTCTTGCTTCTAATGGGTCTTTAACTCCTTGTCTGAATCAAAGCCCATGATTTCAGAATACACTGGAATGAATAAGTGAAGGAAAAACACTCATTATTTGGTTTTATTTTTGTATTTATCTGAAACAGATGAAAGTATATTGAATAATTATCATGTAAAAAATTGGGCTACAAATCATATTAAGTAACCTAAAACTTGATCATTTGGTTTTTATCCTGAAGAATGTTTTATRATGACTGAAATTTAGCAAAGCATTTTGTAAGGAAAGAATGCAACTACTTCTAGGGAGTTCGAGATTAGGTTGTTTCTTACATTATTACAACATAGTTATAAGAATTTTTTAGAACCTGAAGACCTTTTTGCTTCAATGATTAAAGCATAGAGAATTCAATGTTTCTATAAATGTCTTTGGAAATTTATATGGTACTATATCCCTGCCCTTTTTTTCTGTTTTGGTTGAGACATGTACACTAGAAATCTTAATCCTTTATATCAAATCTGATTATAGCTTTTTTTGTCCAGTTTTGCTTGGAATAAAGCATGAGATCCTTAGGGCAAACACTATTTTAAACTCTGTTTTGAGACTGAGGATTCTTTTTTCATTCTACTATTTATATTCCATTTTCCTGCCTGTTAGCATGTGCCCCAGAGTAAACACAACAGTAAAGAACAGGAGAGTCCAATCAGTGTTGTAATTGCCCTTGATCTTATGGAAGATTAAATCTTAGATGAAGTTAAATTTTATTAGTATGTAATATTGTAGTATGATAAATTAAGAATTATATGTACTTGATCTTTCCTCACCAAATTTTGGTATGCTGTATTCTGGTCGTGGACCAATAATTGTGATAAACTAATGATTTTCTTATTTTATTGTATTATATCTTTACTAAAGATTAATCATCTCAAGTTGGCTTCCCTAGTGTTTCCCAAAGGAGGCTTCGCTTCTCGTTTCTTCCAAGCCTCAGGGTCAGTGCAAAGGTCTCTGTGTGCACTAAGGAGGCAGATACCCTGAGAGAGCAAGCGGGACAGCTTTGGAGTAGTACTCTCTAAGAAGAGGGATCCAGGTTGCCTGGTGGACTCATCATAGTTACCTGTAGATGATTAAGAAATACAGGGTCAGAATTTCCAGGGATGGAGTCTAGAAATCTACATTTTAAAATGCTCATTCAGTCTTGCAGCCAATAATTACTATTTGTCTACCGTCTGCTCAGCATGCTAGACTTTGGGTACGTATGCACAGTGGGTCAGATGGATATTCTGGGGTGGGTGTGGAAGGAGGACACTCTGCCCTGTGTGAGCAAGAGAGGATGGGTGGTAGTCAGTAGTGGAATTGGGAGACCAAGTTAGGAGACCAGGTACAAGTTAGTAGAGACTTAAAAAAGGTTGGTAGTGATAGAGGAATGAGAAGCATTTTTAGGATATATAATTTTAAGAATCCAGTGGTGGATTGGTTTGAATGTGGCATGCAAAGGAAAGAGAATCAAGGATTACTTCAGTGACTCTTTTTATTTATTTGCACCACTTGGTATCAATCCCAAGGCCTCATGAATGCTAGGCAAGTGCTCTACTACTGAGCTACATCCTGAGCCCTCAGTCACCATTTTTATCTTAGAAACAGGGTGAATAGATGTCGTGTTTATTCCCACATGAACAAGGTGGGACAGGGAGAATTTAGCATTGGCATTGTTAATTGAGGGGTTTTTAAAATATTAAATTTAAGATGCTTATTAAATATTCATAGCTGGCTGTGGTGGCATATGCCTGTAATCCCAGCAACTCAGGACAGGCAAGTGGATCTTAAGTCCAAGGCCAGCCTCTGCAACTTAGCTAGGCCCTAAGCAACTTAGCAAGCTCAGTGGTAAAGCACTCCTGTATTCAATCCCTGTACCAAAATAATAACAATAAAAATAATGATAATTATAAATTTAAAATTGTAATTTTAAAATTCAGTTAATGTGTTTGAGTAGGTTATTACATAAATAAAAAAAATTGAAAATTTGGAATTTGAGAAAGTAGGGATGAGATAGTAATTTGGGAGTCACTAGTGAAAAATACTAGATACTGGATAAAATCATGAGTGGTTTTGAAGTGTCTGCTTTTTTGTTGTTGTTGTTGAGTTGCTGGGGCATGCATGCTATGCACTCAGCTCTACCACTCCCCACCTCCAATGTGTCCAAATAGGGTGGGAGCAGTAAGGAGGGGAACTGGATCCCAGTGTGAGAATAGCTTCTACCTGTTCCCCTTAACAGGGGAAATTTCTTTGGTTTAAGTTGAGGGAAAGTATTTCTACCAGTGCTTTCTTATTTGTTACTAAATGATGTGATGAGGCTTCTGTAGCCTGATATATTGGAAACTTTCATTTTTAGAATTTTCAATAATTTACATTTTATTTTCAGGTGAATCTTTCATATTTAATTTGGTAGTCTCTATAATTTGGTTGTCATGTAAAATGTATATTAATCTAGCAATTTTTAAAAGAACTTAGATGCACTTGTTAGGATGACCTTTATTTATCTTTGTCTTTATCAGCCCTCTTCATTGGTTTTCCATTTCTACTTATGCTGAGTCATAGTTGGTATCCTAAGCTGCCCACAGTGATCATGTATAAACAGATACATGGCATTATACTCTTACTGGTTTTAAAAACTTGATTTTAATGTTTTATATTGGTTATTTAAACTATATGAAACATGCTTTTATAAAATTTTGAATCCCCAAGTTTAAGAATTTCAGATTAGCGTACTAGTCTTTTCACAGTTAATCACCTTTAATATTTCAGTACAAAATCACTATCATTTAAGTGTTGTAGGACCTATAGTTTTGGAAAGGAAGATTTATTAATATTTTAGAGTTGCTTATTACATTAACATTTTTTGTCTTTGGAGCTCTCAAGAGATAAATAACTCACTTTCTGTGTTTAGTCAAGAGTAGACTTAGAAAAAAGTTCATCAGTCATATTCAAACTATACATGAAACACCCAAACAGGTCACCTAGAGAAGGGYGTGGGGACATTCCTTGATGGCATGAGCATCTGAAAATGTTTTTTTCTTCTTTGGTTTTCAACTTTGTCAGTGATATCTGCAGCTATAGCATGTGGTCATTAAATGTTCATAACAAAGCTACTTTTATACTAAGGAAAGAAATAGTATAATAAGAAAGCTTTTTCATTTAATAAATCTATGATATAGTAAATAGTGGTTGCAGTCATTTCACAAAACTAACCCTACAAACTAGTCACTTCAGATCCCCTAAGAGTTTCTTTACCACCTTTCGAATGACAGTGCAGTTTTCTTTAATTAAAATTGCCCTCATAACTGTGTGTTGTGCAAAGTTGAAAAGTGGGTATGATATGATGGAAAATATTCAGAAGCAAGCACTTCACTCTCCCTTCAGAGAATGCCTTGCTTGAAGCAGTCTGATTTATGATGTTTGGGAATAGGGGCTTTAGAACAAGTATGATCTAGTTCACATCCCAGCTTATTACTTTAAAGCTATGTTACTTAGGACAAATTATTTTACCTCTCTGAACTTTCATTTTCTTACCCATAATATAATACCAATGCTTGTTCTTATATGTTACTGTGGAAATTAAATATTGAACATGAGTTCAAAAGTGTTCATTGCTTGTGGCAGATATTCAACAAATGTTAGGTCTCTTTTCTTTATCCTGTAGATTCATTTTCTTCCTAAGCAACTCCAGTACTTGTACAAAGTAGTGAGGCATTTTTTTAAGTTACATTTTATATGACTTCAAGATATTATGTCAATTGAATTTGTTCTTAAAGGGTGTCAGTCCAGTGTGATACCAATAACACGTAGTGAGGTTTATAAAATTTGTGAAGGTAGCTGATAAATTTAGGGGCTTTTAAAAAATGAGACTCAAACAGGAAAGATAAAAAAAAAATAGTACAAAGTAAAATGCCTCTTTGGGATCTGAGGCAGTTTATGTGGTACCTAAGACATTTTATACACTTATAAGCTTTGCTCATGCATGGTAGGAAAACACTACTGCTAAGCTACATACCCAGAGTAAGCTTCATTGTTGTTGTTGTTGTTTGTAGTTGTAGATTGACAGAATGCCTTTATTTTATTCATCTATTTTTATGTGGTGCTAAGGATCGAACCCAGTGCCTCACAATGCTAGGCAAGCTCTCTGCACTGAGCTACAGCCCCAGCCCCCTAAGCTTTGTTCCTTATGAGGATGTTCTTACAGATGTTTAGCTTCTGTTCCTGGTATTATCTACTACACATATCATAAATTTAACTAACAGCATTGTGCAACATTTTTTACTGTTTTTCCTTGAACTTTTTCTAGTTACAGTGTTTAAGATTAGTCAAATTCCTTAATTTCATCACATTTTGAAATCTATTTTTATTTATTTTCATAAGTAGTAGAAATTTCTAACTGACACAGAAAGAAAGTGAATTTATATTACCTGTCAGACCTTCAGGGTATTCTCTCAGAGAGCTAAAATGGAAGAGATCCGCATTTCTGACATATAAGTAGGTTTATTATGCCTCTGGAATATCACTAATAAGAAAGGGTAGTTGTCCATAGAATTCCAGGACACTATTTGCTCTGCTTGATTTCATCTGCCTCTACTAACCAGAAGTTTCTGTTTCTGAACAAACATTTATGAAGAGCTTTGCTAGATAGCCAAGTGAAGATGACAAATGGAGATCCCATTCCTGTTCTCAGGATTTGTGATCTGTTAGGAGAGAGAGTCAGCCAAGATATAAATGACAAGAAGTGGCTTGGAAGGAACAATTGATTCTAAGAAAGTGGTGAAGCCTTCTAGAGAAAGTYGCATCTGCATTTGGCCTTGAGGGATAGAAGAATATGAGGGCTGAAGGAGGGTGGGGAGTAGGCAGCATCAGAAACAAAGAAGGTACAATATCGCTTGAAATGTGAGGTATATTTTAAGAACAGTGAATAGATTATGTGGCTGGAACATTAAGGGAATTGGATTTGTTTGTTGGGAAATGAATCTGGAAAAGTAGAATTGAAGGAGGTGGGGTGGGACCTTATTCTATAGAGAGCATAACTAATTGGGAGAAAAGTTAAGGAGGTCTGTGGTTTTGGTGGAAAATCTAAGGAGTGGCAGGAACAAAGTGAAAAAAAGAGGACCTAGAAGTCTTGAGATGATTTAGGAGATTATTTCAACAGTAAAGGCAGAAAATGCAAAGATCAATTTGGGCTGTAATAGGATATCTGTAGAAATGGAAAGAATATAGACTTTAATGATATCAGATAGAGAAAAGTATAAGAGATATATCCCAGGTGACTTTATTTCTTCAATGTTTCTGGAGTTATGCCAGTTAACAGAGACTAAAAAAGGAAAATGTTTGGGAGGGTACTTCTTGTGAAGGACTTTTTTTTTTTTTAAATTAATTCTACATTAGCTACATTAGCCGTAGCACTGGAGGCCTTTTATCAAATGCTATAGGACATGGCATGTTTCAGATTCTGTACGTCAGCAGCTACTGGTACATCCTATTATATATCTGAGGTCTACTTTGAGGTATATGAGATTTATCAAATTTATTACATCATCTTTTGAACATGAGAATAACACAAATAACTTCTTTTAGTGTTCAAGAGACCTATGAAGCCAAAAGACATGAATTGCATGGTGAGCGTCAGAGAAAAGAAGAAGAAATGAAGCAGATGTTTGTGCAGCGAGTAAAGGAGAAAGAAGCCATATTGAAAGAAGCCGAAAGAGAGGCAAGTTTGATGTGATTTTTTTTGATGTCCTATTTCTTTGGACCAATGTAGTTGAGACACTTTTTACTTTATGTAAAATTTTATGAATTCTGTCTTTAAGAAAAATAAGTCCTAATATCCATTTGGAGAGCATACATTCAAATAAGGGTAAAAGTAAAAAAAAAAGAGAAACTAGGATAGGATCATAAAATAGGCAGGGGTTAGACAGTAATAATACTGCAATAACTTGTACAAAAATTGTTCTCTGAGCTTCCTTGCAGCCAGTCCAGAAAAGGAAATCCTATCAGCTCTCGTAGGCATTAAGTCTGCACCAATGAAAGCCTGATAAGCAGGAATTAGCAGAGGGCTTAGGGTACAGAAGTGGAAATAAGCATTGGTTATGGGCTGTCACAATGCTGTGCTGCTGTCCAGAGTGCATCACAATGGAAGAGGAGTACACAGTTTTACCAAGACTGTTGTCTGAGCTGCTTTGTTTACTCAAATTGTGTAATGGATGTATAAGTGAGAATTCTCAAGTGTTGGAAACACATACTCATGTTTCATTGACATTTCTAGGTTTCTACTTTCTTTTTGTCATAGAGTAAAAAGGAAAGTACTTAATGCCAATAGGTAACCAGTTTACAAGAATCCTATTGTGTCATGAGTAGGGCTAAAAACAACTCATTTTTGTTGGTATTGTGAGATAATGACTAAATCTTCATACACTGATTTCAGACCTCACCTAGGTTTGGCCATATGAGTTATCATCTTGCATGATGATAATAAAAATATTTTTATGTGAAAGTTTTAGTTCATGACCATTTCTTATTGTACCTAATTTTTAAAAGTATTACTGTGAATTACATTGTTGATCTTGTTTCATGCTTGGAAAAACTAAATTATAATAAAGTATGGAGCCAAGAGTAGGATGATGACACTGGGGCCTGTTAGTCTTAGTTCTGTGTGCAACACTCTTTAAACCATTTGACTTTTTGAATTTTTCTTTATACTGTGTTCCCACATAGTGATATTGATACATTTTGGCAGTAGTTGTTTTGAGGTGTCATAAAAGTTGAGAACATGAATCTCCTAATATCTGGTGCTCCTTATTCTACCCTGAATTGAGAATATTGCTTCCATTCTCTGGCCTCCCTCATGAGTTGTTAGAATGCGGACACATGGGAAACCAGTGGGAATAGTTGGCCAAACATTGATATTTGCTAGGAAGTTCTTTCATGAGAGCTCGTTGATTCCTGCTGTCTGAAGGGCTGGAGAGAAGTGATGGTTGTAGAGGTCCAAGGCATTGCCAACCTGAGATTGAACCTGGACCACAATCTCTCAGACTTAACAAAGTTTTTTCCATAGACCAAGTTTTGCCCACTTTACTTATCCCCAGAAGACCCAGGGTCAGCAAAAATGGGTCAGGTCCAGAATGCAGATAGTGTGTGATGAAGAAGGGTAACATTTTGCTGCCTTAGGTAAATCAATAGGGCCATAATAAAATGGAAACTGTGTCTGTATGAGTTACTTCTGATGGAGTCAATAGTAACCATGTGATGTATACTTTGGGATAAAAAGCCTTAAAAGCTTAAAATCAAAACTCCAACTCATTCCTTTACCCCTTTCTCAGCAGGTCTGCTCAGGAGACAAGTTTATTCCTATGGATCCTGCTCCTCTGCTCCATCTTTCTAGTTTGTTCCTATGGATCCTGCCCCTCATCTTTTAAAGGCTACATTTTAAAGTAGCTATTTTAGCTGAGCATGGTAGTGCACACCTGTAATCCCAGTAACTCAGGAGGCTGAAGCAGGAGAATCTCAAGTTTGAGGCCAGCCTTAGCAACTTAGAAGTACTCTGTAACCTTTCAAGGTATTTTAGTATGCAAATAAAGTATGTCACTTCAATTTAAGTAATCAGAGATTCGTCTCTGTTTACATAAAACCAATCTGCCTGTATAGGCTCTCTTCCTGAGCTTCTACTCTGCTCTCCTCCCATGTGATAGGGGTGCACCATGCTCAGAGAGTTGTGCCTTTTACACCATTGACCTGCCTTTTGTTTCTATTTTGTAGTTCTGGAGACAGAACCCAGGGCCTTGTGCATACTGGACAAGTGCTTTCAACCACTGAGCTGATCAAARTGATCTATGTATTACATTTCTTGTTTTTTTTTTAATATTTATTTTTTAGTTATAGGTGGACACAATATCTTTATTTTTTTATGTGGTTCTGAGGATTGAACCCAGTGCCTCATGCATGCTAGGCGAGTGCTCTACCTCTGAGCCACAACCCCAGCCCCTACATCTCTTGTTTTGAAAAGCATAAACTATTTAAATAAGCAAATACTAAGGAGCTGATACTTCTCAGAAAAGGCATCCTCTGGAATGAAGGAATTATAGGTTAGAAGGGCCTTACTTAGTCATGTTTCAACCTTGTCTCATTTTCAATACTTCTGTCAGAGGCTCAGTGGCCCACAGGACCATTTACTTGTTTCATGTATGGAACATGAAATTTTTATTAGGTAGAATTTAGCCATCTATTGTTTCTACCCTCATTCTCTGACTTAATGAATTATTTCCCCAACTATTTTGTTATTATTGTTGTTGGCATTGTAGCAGGCATTACAAAGCCATAGATCGATTTTTTWAATTTTTTTTTTAATTTTAATTTTATTTCTTTTTTTAGATATACATGACCATAGAGTGTATTTTTACATACTACACATACATGGAATACGACTTATTCTAATTAGGATCCCATTCTTAATGGTTGTAGGATGTGGAGTTTCACTGGTGGTGTATTCATATATAAACATAGGAAAGTTGTGTCCAATTCATTCTACTGCCTTTCCTATTTCTACCCTGCTCTTCCCTTCATTCCCCTTTGTCTAATCCCCCCTGTCGTGTGTTAGCATCTGTATAACAGAACATTTTGCCTTTGGTTTTTTGGGATTCACTTATTTCACTTATTAGTGATAATGTCTAGATGCATCCGTTTACCAGCAGAAGTCTTGAAGTCATTGTTTCTTATAGCTGAATAATATTTCATTTTCTTTATCCATTCATCGGTAGAAGGACATATAGGTTGGTTCCATAGCTTAGCTATTGTGAATTGAGCTGCTTTAAATATTGATGTGGCTGTGTGCTGATTTTAAGTCAGCACATTTTAAGTATATACCCAGGAGTGAGATAACTGGATCCAATGGTGGTTCCATTCAAAGTTTTTAGAGGACTCTTCATACTGTTTTCGAGTGGTTGCACCAATTTACAGCCCCATGAACGTACCTTTTCTTCCACATCTTTGCCACTATTTATTGTATTACTTGTATTTTTGATGATTGCCATTTTGACTCGAGTGAGATAGAATATAACTGTAGGTTTAATTTGCATTTCTCTAATTGCTAGAGATGTTGAACATTTTTTCATATATTTGTTGACCATTTGTATTTCTTCTGTGAAGTGCCTGTTCAGTTCCTTTGCCCATTTATTGACTGAGTTATTTGTTTTTTTGGTGCTAAGTTTTTTGAGTTCTTTATATCCTAGAGATTAATGTTCTATCTGAGGTGCAGGTGGCAAAGATTTTCTCCCATTCTGTAGGCTCTCTCTTCACATTCTTGATTGTTTCCTTTTCTGTAAAGAAGCTTTTTAATTTGATACTCTCCCATTTATTGATTCTTGATTTTATTTCTTGTGCTTTAGGAGTCTTGTTGAGGAAGTCAGTTCCTAAGCCAACATGATGGGCTACATTTTTTTCCTATTAGGTGCATGGTCTCTGGTCTAATGCTTCGGTCCTTGGTCCACTTTGAGTTGAGTTTTGTGCAGGATGAGAGATGGGGGCTTAATTTTATTTTGTTACATATGGATTCCCAGTTTTCCCAGCACCATTTGTTGAAGAGGCTTTTCTCTAGTGTATGTTCATGGCACCTTTTGATAACTATATTTATGTTAGTTTTTCTCTTATCTTCTTTTCTGTTCTGTTGGTCTTCCTGTCTGTTTTGGTGTCAATATCATGCCATTTTTGTTACTAGAGCCCTGTATTATAATTCAAGATCTGGTATTGTGATGCTTCTTGCTTCGCTTTTCTCACTAAGGATTACTTTGGCTATTCTGGGCCTCTATCTGGTCTTGGGCATGTCTTAGTTGGTAGGCTTTGGATGGCATTTTTAATTTCATTGCCTGAAATTCATCTGTTTAAGTTTTTCTGTGTCCTCTTGATTCAATTTTGGTAGGTCGTCCTAGAAATTTGTTGATGTCTTCAAGATTTTCTGTCATATTGGGGTATCAATTTTCAAAATAGTTTCTGATTATCGTCTTTTTTTCAGTAGTGTCCATGGTGATATTTCTTTTTTTTTATCATCGATTTTAGTAATTTGAGATTTTGCCCTCTTTCTCTTGATTAGCTTGGCTAAGGGTTTATCAATTTTTTATTTTTACTGTTTTAGAGAATGAGCTTTTTGTTTCATTGATTTTTTTTTAATTTGTTTTATTTGGTTCTTCAATTTCATTGATTTCAGCTCTGATTTTAATTATTTTCTGTCTTCTGCTTTTGGTGTTGACTTGTTCTTCTTTATCTAGGGCTTTGAGATGTAACGCTAGGTTATGTATTTGGTGACTTTCTATTCTTTTAGTGAATTAGCTCAGTACAATGAACTTTCCTCTTAGAACCGCCTTCATAGTGTCCCAGAGGTTTTGATATGTTGTGTTGTTATTCTCAACATATTTTTTTATTTTTTTTATTTCACCTCTGATTTATTCTGCCATCCATTGGCCATATATATAATAGTGTAATATTTAGTCTCCAGGTGTTAAAATAGCTTCTTTTTAAAATTTTATTGTTTATTTCTAATTTCATTCCATTATTATCTGATGGAATACAAGCAAAGTATTATCTCAATTTTTTATTATTATTTATTTTTGTATTTTCTAAGATTTGTTTTGTGGCCTAAGAATGGTCTGTTCTAGAACAGGATCTGGTTGCTGCTGAGAGGAAAGTGGATTCAGTCATTGATCGATGAAATATTATATGTAT